AAAAAAAATTTTTTTTTTTTTTTTTTTTGGGAACCGAGGAGGCCCTGAAAGGAGGCCCCGGTCATTTGAAACAGGAGGCCGAGGCCCACTCACTCCGTAATCCGGACCACCCAGCTCCTTAATCCGGACTTCCCAGTGTCCCTTCTCCCTGAGCAGCTTGTTAATCTCGTCGTTGAGGTCCCGGATGCGGAATTCGCCCAAACCAGCTAGAAAACAAAACAACAACGATAAAAAGTGTTAATATCCTGTCTCGAGGCCGGGCGCGGAGGCTCACGCCTGTGATCCCAGCACTCCGGGAGGCCGAGGCGGGAGGATCGCTGGAGGTCAGGAGTTCAAGGCCAGCCTGAGCGAGAGCGAGACCCCCGTCTCTACTAAAAATAGAAAGAAATGAACTGGACAACTAAAAAAAATATATATAGAAAAATTAGCCAGATGCCTGCAGCCCCAGCTCGGGAGGGAGGCCGAGGCGGGAGGCTCGCTCGAGGTCAGGAGCTCGAGGCCAGCCTGAGCAAGAGAGAGACCCCGTCTCTAATAGAAATAGAAAGAAATGAGCTGGACAACTAAAAATATATAGAAAAACGTAGCCGGGCGTGGTGGCGCACGCCTGTCGTCCCAGCTACTCGGGAGGGAGGCCGAGGCAGGAGGATCATTTGAGGCCCAGAGTTGGAGGGCCAGCCTGAGGCAAGAGCAAAGACGCTTCTATTTACTGAGAAAATTCAGAAATAGCTGACAAAAAAATATGCATATAAAATAAAATGTAGCCGTGGTGGTGGCTACGCCTGTAATCCTACTCTCTGGGAGGCCGAGGCGGCGGATTGCTGAGGTCAGGAAGTCGAACCAGCCTGAACAAGAGTGAACCCCATCTCTACTATAAAAATAGAAAGAATTAATTGCCAACTTAATAATATATATAAAAAATTAGCTGGCATTGGGGCGCATGCTGTTAGTCCCAGCTAACTCGGAGCTGAGGCAAGAAGGGATCGCTTGAGCCCAGGAGTTGAGGTTGTGTGAGCTAGGGCTGACGCCATGGACTCACTCTAGCCTGGGCAACAAAGCGAGACTCTGTCTCAAAAAAAAAATAAAATAAAAAAAATAAAATAAAATAAAATAGCCATGCACGGTGGCTCATGCCTGTAGTCCCAGCTATTTGGGAGGCTGAGGCAGGAGGATCGCTTGAGCCCAGGAGTTGGAGGCCAGCCTGAGCAAGAGGGAGACCCCGTCTCTACAGAAATAATAAAAAAGAATAGTGGACAATAAAAAAAATAATAATATATATTAAAAACAACCGGGCGTCGGAGCCATGCCTGTCGTCCCGGCTATTCGGGAGGAGGCCGAGCAGGGAGATCGCTGGAGGCAGGAGTGGAGGCTGCTGTGACGAGCTGATTGCATGGCCATCTAGGCCGGGCGGCAAGCGAGACTCTGTCTCAAATAAATAAAGAAAAACACCAGGCCCATGGCGCAGAGCTAGACTCTGCAAAATAAAAAATAAAATAAAATAAAAACTTCTGTCATAAAAGTAAAATAAACAAATAGAACAAACAAATAAACAAACAAACAAATTAACAAATAAATAAAAATAAAATAAATAAAATAAATAAAAAATAAAGAAAAAATAAAAAAATAAAAAAATAAGAATAAATAAAAAAAAAAAAATAAATAATAAATAAATAAATAAATAAATAATAAATAAAAAATAAAATAAATGAAATAAAATAAATAAATAAAATAATAAAATAAAATAAAATACAGGAACGAGGGAGCTTACCATTCTGAATCTGAGCAACTTTTTTAGATATCTCTCCAATGATCTGTAAAAAGAAAAAAATAAATAAATAAAAGGCTACAGTACAGTTTTCGTCGACTTTCCATTTCCGTTTCCAAACATGGGAAGAACGTTAATTCAAAATTAGCAATTAAAAATAGTTAAAGATACTGATTTAAAATCTGTACCCCCCAGCCCCAGTAATATGCCGAAATAAAAAAACAAAAATAAAAAACAGGCCGGCGCGGAGGCTCACGCCTGTCATCCCAGCCACTCTGGACCGAGCGGGAGAACGCTCGAGGTCAGGAGTTCGAACCAGCCTGAGCAAGAGGGAAACCTCATATAAATAGAATAGAAACAAATAGTATAAATAGAAAGTGGTGGTATAAATAGAAATATTTATACTAGTTAAATAAGAAACCGAAAGGCCGGGCGCGGGTAGCTCCGCCTGTTCCTAGCACTCTGGGAGGCTGGGGCGGCGAACTTGCTCGAGGTCAGGAGTTCGAAACACCCTGAGCAAGACCCCGTCTTCTTACAAAAATAGAATAAATTAATTGACCAACTAAAATATAGATACAAAAATAGCCGCATGGTGGCTGCATGCCTGTAGTCCCAGCTGACTCGGGAGGTGAGGCAGAGGATCACTCAGCCAGGTTGAGGTTGCTGTGAGCCGAGGCCGACGCACGCACTCACTCTAGCCTGGCAACAAAGTGAGCTCGTATCTCAAAATTAAATTATGGATTAAATAAATAGAAACAAATTAAGTATAAGTAGAATACCATATATAGCATTATACTATTATATGGTAATTAAATAAGATAAATAGAAACCAAATAACTGGCCATACTGAATATATATATAGAAAAAACTGAGCCGGGCGTGGAGCGCGATGCCTGTAGTCGCCAGCTACTCGGAGGGAGGCTGAGGGCGAGGCTCGCTGGAGGCCCAGGAGTCGGAGCTGCTGGTGAGGAGGCTGACGCACGGCACTCACTTCAGCCGGGCGCAGAGCGAGACTCTCTCTCAAAAATAAAAAATAAAATAAAAATATAAATATAAGTACAATAAAATAAAATTTTAATTATAAATAAAAAAAATAAAAATAAATAAATAAAAATAAGAATAAATACAATAAAAAATAAACACATACAAAATAAAAAATGAAAATATAAATCAATAAAATAAAAACAAATATAATAATAAAAAATAAAAATAAAAAAATATTATAAATATAATACCAATAAAAGTAAAAACAAATATATAAGGCGGCCGGTGGCTCACGCTGTAATCCTAGCTCTGGGAGGCGAGGCGGGCGAGTGCTCGAGGTCAGAGTTCGAAACCAGCCTGAGCAAGAGAACCTCTCTACTATAAATACGAGAAGAAATCAATTTGGCAAACTGATTATATATAAAAAAAATTACGCCGGGCATGGTGGCGCATGCCTGTAGTCCAGTACCCGGAGGCTGAGGCAGAAGGATCACTTACAGGAGTTTGAGGTTGTGTGAGCCTAGGTACCAGCGGCACACTCTAGCCTTGGAACAACAAAGTGAGACTCTTCTCAAAAAAAAAAAAAAAAAAAATAAATACAAAAAAAATAAATATATAGTAACAAATGAACAATAATAAAGTATAAATACAAAAAAAATACAATATATAATAAAAAAATAAAAATAATAAATATAAATATAATACAATCAAAATAAAAAACAAAATAATAATATAACAAATAAATTAATAAAATATATACAATAAAATAAAAACAAAAATAAATAAATAAAAATATAAATACAATAAAATAAAAAATAAATATATAATAATAAAAAAATAAAAATAAATATCCCACTGTCTTTGAGCTGAAAGAAAAAAAAAATAACACAAAGAAATATAATGGAGGGGGGGAAATGGGCATTTATTTATTGAAACCTTAAAATCTATACCCCCATAATATGCCGAAATACAAATAAAAAAATTAACAAAATATACATATATATATAATGGAATCATTTTAAAAAAATTTTAAAAATAAATAAATACATAAAAAACGCTGGTTTTAGCGTCACACTTAGACAACAAGAAGCGGAGACCTGTCGCTGCCTCCGAGGTCGGATTCATCTAGATTTGCCTGGAACGTACCTGCCGTCTCCACTTCTCAGCCTTGGGCAGCTCGGTACACTCCGAGGCGAGAAAGGGTCTCCGTTCCTAAGGAGAAGAGAAATGACACACGTGTTGTCACCACGGCACCGCGTTTTCCCCGAAAATAAAGATCTCCCCGTAAAATAAGCCCCAGCGGGACGTCCTAGCATTTGCACCCTAGAAGGCCCGACCCCGAAAACCAGCCCTAGTCGTCCGGCTCGTTTCTTTGTATTTTTTTTATTTATTTTTTAGTAGAGACGGGGTCTGGCTCTTGCTCAGGCTGGCCTCAAATTCCTCACCTCCAGCGATCCTCCCACCTTGGCCTCCCTCCCGAGTAACTGGGACTACAGGCATGCGCCACCACGCCCGGCTCATTTTTTTTTTCTATATATTTTTAGTTTTCCAGCTCATTTCTTTCTATTTTTAGTAGAGACGAGGTCTCCCTCTTGCTCAGCCTGGCCTCAAACTCCTGACCTCAAGCGATCCTCCCACCTCGGCCTCCCTCCCGAGGAGCTGGGATTACAGGCATGCGCCACCACGCCCGGCTCGTTTTCTCTGTATATTTTTAGTTGTCCAGCTCATTTCTTTCTATTTTTTTTTTTAGTAGAGACGGGGTCTCCCTATTGCTCAGCCTGGCCTCGAACTCCTGACCTCGAGCAATCCTCCCGCCTCGGCCTCCCTCCCGAGTAGCTGGGACTACAGGCGTGAGCCACCACGCCC